ATTGAGTCTTCTGTCTTCCTCCTCTCTCTCCACAGGAAAGCTGACCCAGATCGTTTTTGGTCACTGGGATGTTGTGACATGTCTGGCCAGGTCAGAGTCCTACATCGGAGGAGACTGCTACATCGTGTCTGGCTCGAGAGATGCCACTCTTCTTCTGTGGTACTGGAGTGGAAGACACCACATAATTGGTGACAACCCAAACAACAGTGAGTAGAGTCATGACGGAAATAACGTACAAGAGTTTGTCTATTTTGTATCCGTGTGAAAATATTCTGAAAAGCTTTCTGCCTTACGGGAGAGGGAAGTTTCGAACAGTCACTGACTTTGTTTATATCCCCTAGGTGACTACCCTGCTCCGAGGGCAGTACTGACAGGACATGACCACGAGGTGGTGTGTGTGTCTGTCTGTGCAGAGCTGGGACTGGTCATCAGTGGAGCTAAAGGTTTGTGTTTCTTCCCTTGTTTGTCTTTGCCTAAGAGAAATATCATTTTACTTTTAAATTCATTTAGATTGGTAGCACAGGGAATACTTATGTCATTAAAAATCTAAATGAAACAGTATTGGAACATTTTAAACCTCTGATACATTTATCATGGGAGTACGTTACTGTACATAGGAATAGAGGTACTGTCCTTTGTTGTTTAACTTCTACCTTGATTAGATGAACATGCTTTCTGTAACTGCCTTCAAATTCATACTGCAGAAAACATGAGATTGTCCTGCAAATGTGAAATTTCTCCTTGGATTTCCACAAAACTGATACTTACCACTTTTTCCGACAGTCATGTTGATGAACTGAGTCACAAAATAGAACTTTTTTCCCTTGATTTCTTTGGTCTCTTCCCTCAGAGGGCCCGTGCTTGGTCCATACCATCACAGGAGACCTGCTCAGAGCGCTGGAGGGGCCTGAGCTGTGCCAGCGGCCCCGCCTCATCTCGGTGTCCAGTGAGGGCCACTGCATCATCTACTACGAGCGAGGCCGCTTCTGCAACTTCAGCATCAATGGAAAACAGCTGGCACAGATGGAGGTCAACGATTCCACACGGGTAAGGCTTTCAGAGTTTAAACTGTACATGTAAACATACCATATTGATTTTTATCGAGCCACTTTCACCCTATATTCCTCTTCCTTGTCCCTCTTCAGGCCATCCTGTTGAGCAGCGACGGACAGAATCTGGTAACAGGAGGTGATAATGGAGTTGTTGAGGTGTGGCAGGCGTGCGACTTCAAACAGCTGTACATCTATCCGGGCTGTGACGCGGGCATCCGGGCCATGGACCTCTCACATGACCAGAGGTAACAGACAGTAATACTGTGAAAACAGCCAAGTTCATGGCAGTGGTTTATTTTAGACTACTGTTGTTGTGGAAACTGGGTTACCTCACAGGGGAGTTCTGGATGATCATTTTAGTTATTTTACCACAAATCTCTCAGATGACGTCTCTGGACTTGGGAAATGTACGCTGTTAAATGCAAACCTTAAAAATAAATACTTTTATTTATATAGTTTGATTCATAGATTTTCTTTCTATTTGCTTTGCTCTTCTAGGACTCTGATCACTGGCATGGCATCCGGCAGCATAGTGGCGTTCAACATAGACTTCAACCGCTGGCACTATGAACACCAGAACAGGTACTGAGGTGGACAGGAGAGCGACGGAGGGAGAGAAGGAGAACAAGAGAGAGAAGAGGTGAAGCATTCTGCTGCGTGTCTACAACGCGGGGAAACTACAGGTACTGAGAGGATCTCAAAACAAGTACCGGACCTTTAGGCTCTATATCCTTGTGAAGTTTACTTGATTGGAAGTTGCGGCAGCGCTGGTGGGAAACGGCCTCGTCTGTGCACACGTGTCCCGACACACGTGAGTAACTGCAGACACATTATACTCTGAAGATACACACCACAACCTGCTCATAACATAGACAGGCTGCAGAATGGGAAAAAAGAGCAGTCAAGCAGACCATGTAGAGGTTGATTATACCTGTACCACTCACAGGACTCGTGAAGGTCATGGTACACTTAATGCTTCACAGATGAAGAGCCTATGTTGTTTTTTTTTCCCATTTTAATTTTCTTCTTTATTGAACCAGTTCTTTTCCTTTTTGTTTGAGGGGAGTTCAGTCATGGGATTATATTTGGGTGGATTATAAATTAAGACTCCTCCAATGTGTCTGACAACATATGGTCAGAAATGAACCAGCCCCACCTACTATTCAGAAAATTGGTGCTATTGGCTTGATCTTAAATTCCCCCATAAAAGAATTGTCCAGGACTTATGATTTGATTTTATTCAAGGTTTTTTTTTTTCTTCTGTTTCCTTTACACTCTTTCTTTTACCTGCAGCAGGGTTAGATCTGATTTGTATGTAAATAAAGACTCTGCTTCCGTCAGAGTCTACACGTGTTATTTCACTACACAAACTGCGCTTATCACCTTTAATTTATTAATGACTTGCTGTATGTAAAATATTGTGTAATAATTACTATAATGTTGACAAGACTGATGGTAAAAATGGCGGTGTCAAGGATGGTGATAATTTTGCCGGAGATGGTAATGATAAAGAGATCTTGCCAGTGCCACCAAGGACGACGACCACGAGAACTGACATGATTTCCTTTGTATATTTGGTGATTGTTTTTGTCAAATATGTATATAGTCTTGGTTCAGGCTCGGTGGGAGACTTAATCAGCTGAATAAGACTGAAAGCGCAAAGGAAAACCTTCACTTACCCACATTTGTTGATTATTTAAAAAAGAGAATCAAATCAATGTAAAAGTTTGTTTTTGTATTTGCACTTTGCACCAATCACATATCATTATTTATTAGCTTGGTTCTTTCTGGTTGGCTGCCATTTTGTTTAGGTCCATTTTCCCCGATGGGATTATTTGTGCATTGATGTTTGTAATTTAAAAACGTTGAGCCCATGTGTGATTATTATGTTTTACAACCTCACAGTTGTAAGCAATATCATGATTCTGTAGCTGATAGAGGCAGCGGGGGAAGAGGAGGAGGAGGAGGAGGGATGAAATGTGAGATGTTCTGTATGTGTGAAGCCATCTTGATCAAATGCGCACATGCACATACTCTATCGACAGGTTCAACTTACGTATCCAAAAAAAGGTTAAATATTTTTGGATCTATGAAACCCTAAAAACTATTGTATTCATGTTTTATTGCAAAGATGTAAAATATGACATGTGTGAGTTGAAAAAAAAAAAAATCATGATAAGAAAAATAAAATATGCAAAGAATTTGATGACTTGGCTTTTCATTGGTCCCATGTTATTTTCTTTTTACTGCTGAAAAGCAGCTGTTCACAGGCAGAGTGAGACATCAAGGACGTCCCATTGAAGTATTTACAAGAGCCCAGTCTGAAAGAAAATAGCCTTCAAGAAATGAACTCCAAAGACCCTTGAGATGTAACGGTACACTCTAAACACACTTGACTTCGTTGTTGAGCTACCTGCTTTGCTTCTCTTTTTCTTTTAGACGTTAAATTCTGCAGCACTTCCTTAGAGCACAGACTCTTAGGACATACACAGACATTATACTGTATGTCTAGAACTTTATGCCTGAGGAAGAAGATAGAGGTCTTCAAAGACATCTGGGTGAAACGTTGTGATGAATTAACACTTTTTGTGCGGGTCTATCGTCTTCATCAGTCTGCTGATTTTGAACTGCCCTGCACCTACGTGATGTGTGTATAACTACCTCCTTTTTCTAGAACTTTATGCATCCCTTCTGTATTGTGTCCTCATGTCTTTTTGCATAAATCAAATCCTTTAAAAAGCTCAAACTCAATGACACTCCTGTGTAGCATTTTAAAAGCCTTTTCAATGTACATTTCCATTTGCAGTTGCAATGTTTACATCAGTCAATCATGCAAATGTTGGTAAGAAATCTACGTAAGCAGGAGAAGGATTGACCACAGTGACAAAGAAAACGATTGTAATCTACTTTGTAGCTTTGTGTTCAAGGATCACAAACTTAAATTAACAAGAGCTATAATTCAACTGGCAAAAAACTGTCAATAAAAGAGTTGAATCAGTATTGCAATGAGTTTTCTTCTTGACGGATTAAAAAAATACAAAGTTTTGGGAATTATTTTAAATCTGGGCATAACAGCTTGACGTGTGCACACTGATTGATCTACAGCTTTCAATAATGAACCAGTCGTTGACATTGTTTTGTCATTTAAATGTGGGTAGGAAACTGGAAAAATATCATGATACTGACTCATCTGGGATAACACTTATGTTTTGATTCTTTATTTGATTGGGTTCCTGTCCATCCCCCGCATATGCATGTAGTCATTTACTGCTGAAGTTGAATGATTATAATCAATGAATACTCCCAAGTGATTTTTCTTAATTTACAAACACAAGTCCTCACTCTGCTAATACATATTGCAGAGTATTGGAATCTTGGAAAATGCAGCTTTCACACCTTTTTCTGTTAACAGCCCGTCAGCATTACTGGTCTCTCATTGTTTTTGAATGAAACATTTGAAAATAATCTAGGTGATTTTTATTCAATATAAAATAAAAATACACGCCATCAGAAAAAAAAAAACACTGCATTTTGAGCAGAATCAGCAGTTACTGAATCTTAAGCCCGAAGTAGAGAAGAGGCTGACAGCTGCACAGAGCTTTCATGCTTCAGTCACTATGGAGACGGCTATCAGACGCCATATGAGCTGACAGGAAGGAGAGAGTAATCCGTCACGCTGGTAGACCTGTCGTTCAGAACCAGAATTTCATCTCGCTGTTCATGCCCCTTTTGACCCGGTCTGTCTGTAACTGCTCTGAGATGCTGACACAACCCTCATTTCTTATTCACCTTTACACCCACAGCAGGATGTCTTTGCTGTCTCCGTTCCACACACTCGGGGGAATAACGGAGAGGGTTGATATGTGTACGTTTTGTCAAGTATCTCATCTTAAGCTGTGGTAAAACACAATGAAGTTACAGCATCACAAATTGAGGCACCCTTATGCATTTCTGTACAAAGGAGTGTTCTTTATTGTAATACTGTTTTTGCAATGTAGCCTACAGACATTATTAGACATGCTGTGCAAAGCATCACTTTGTTATTTGCTCTACAGTAAATATGTCAAGTACGGTTAAAGAAATGCATTTTACAAAAAGAAAGAGGACGGACAACAATTTTTCTGCAGAAGGAAAGCAGTCTTGCTTGCTCCTTTGTCTTAGCCCTCTAAATAAGGCTCTAAAGTCCCTCTTATCCCTTAAGACCTGTACATCACATAGTGAGCTACTTTATATTTCCCATGTGAATTTGCAAAAACACGGTGCTTGCTGCCATCCCATCAGGATTATAATTTGCATGCAAGACGTGTAAAGTCACACTGTCCTTGTGTCTCTTTATGTGTCTCTTTGTCACAGTGAGGAAGTTCTGGGTGTGCGCTTCCTGTTGTTTGCATGCATGCATACAAAAGTTCACCTCGACATATACATGCCCGTGTGTTTGTTTGCGATCCTTCCATTCCTTTCAAGTGGACAATGAAGAGATGGTGGACCTCTGAGAAGAGATGCTACAGATCTCCATGTTTGTGAAGGAGCTCCCCCCCTCACTGCTGCAGTCTGGGACAGAGGACGAGGAGGAGATGATGTTCTTCAGCCTGTGGAGGGAGATGATGAGCAGCGTCAGCAGGAATACCAGCAGGCCGAAGAAGAGCCACACATAGACGTACACATTGCCCTGACGTCCTGGTAAGGAGGCGGCCGCAGACGGGGATGAAGAGGTAGGGGAGAAACGGAGGAAGGTGCCATTGTCCATGGGAGGGATTCCTGTCTCATTTTGGTCCACCAGCGGGACGTCCATCCCTGACATCCTGGCTGACATTCAGCAGAGATGTGCATGAGGGAAAAACAGAAGGAGATTTAATTTGGAAGAAAATAAATACTTTGAGGCATTTATAATATTACATGAACTAAAGGAGAAATCCTCGTTTGTCTGCTGGAGCTGTCAGGAGTTTAGTTTCTCCCTCTAGGACAATTCAGCATTGCAGATGCTTCCTGACACCCACATGCTAATCTTTGGCTGAGATTAAGAGAAAGAAAGAGAGGACTTCAGCGGATTTAATTCAAGGTCAACAATTTACTTCAAGAGCCTCAGATACAGAACAGACCTCTGGCTTATACGTTGCAATCAATGCTAATTTCATTTTGCACAACACATGGAGAGATCAGGGAAATTATTAATTTCCTCAAACTGACCTCAATAACCCAGTTATTAATGAAAAACATGCATTTTTCATTGCACCAGTGAATAACCTTAAAAATCTTTCATTAAATCAATAAATAAAACTAAATACATAAAAACTTGACTTGAGGGCTATGGAGAGTAGATAGCCTAAATATAATATTTGCAGCAAAGAAACATGTTAACATTTAGTATTTGTGATAATGTAAGATTGTACAAGAAATGGCCTAGGCTACAACCAATGGATATGCTATCAATATATGTTAATAGATAGTATAAAATGGTATATTCTCTGAAGTGATGGTTTAGTTAGAGAATGGACACCTGATCACCAAATCAAGTGCATTAAGAAATTTCATGTGTAGGGTGAATTTTTGTCTAATCACAAAAAGAAACACCTAAAGTGTGTTCTAGCCTTTCAATAAGAGCTGGTGCTAAAAGTCAAGGAGCTTGACAGATTGAAGGATAGGACTACTAACTAGATTGTAATGAGGGGTAACAGCAGGGGGAGTACTTGTGTCATTGAATGCCTGTCAGGCTTGGCACCCTGAGATGCATGCTCATAAACTAAAGCAACCCTATCTGATGAAATTAACCTCGTCATAATCAGCTTCCACAAAGACAACTGAGAGCTAACCTTCCTCCACTGCGTATTAAAACAGCTAATAATGTTCTACAGAAAAATGACTGTGTGAAACGAAGACTAACTAGAAGTCGAACTAGATGTAAGATGAGATGTGGAAATGTTAAGAGACAAAGAAAGCGGAGAAAGCATGTTTGGGAGCCTATTTAGGCTGGACCAATCTTGTGTCTTGACTTGATCGATGACACAACATAGATCCTTTGAAGAGTTGAAAAAAAAATAACCATGAAAGAAATGAAAGGTGTGCACAGAGGCCTTTTTTCCTTAATTAAGTGGACAGATTAAAGTTCTGCAGTTTTTCAATGTATCCCAGTTCACAGTCAACAGGTGATAGTTCACAGTTGTTAGACGTTCAAATGTAAGAGTAGTTTAAAATGACTGCAGCATTCACTTTACTAAACACATGAAACATTGGCTGTCGGCTGTTTACAGTCTATGGTTTACACTCCCTTTTTTTTGGCGGGTCGCAAACAAGTCCTATGTATCATACCGCTAACTACTGTACACAGGTAGCCTATGTGTCATCCAGATATCATCATGTCATTTACCTACTAAATTGTATTGCCAGCCTCGGCACAGGAATTTAAGTGTGACTTCTCGAATACATCCACCATAGACTGTAAATGTTATATAGCTTATAGCTCTATTCCACATGCAGAGCTGGGATATTTGCTGGAAGTGTTAGCGATTCCCAGGACATTGTAGAAGCTAATGTTTAGCTTAGCGATTCACAAAGTTAAGGTCATGTATAGACGCCACAGCCCAACAAATGCTTGACTAGAGCCGCCTAATGCAAGAAACATGGCTGGTTTATTTCTTTTAGCCATTCTCTGTGACCTATAAACATTGTTTTGTGTAGCCTAGAGTCTGTTAAATTGAATAAGCGTGCAGTGTGTTGCTCGCTAGCAGTAGGCTACTTTACCATAGTTGACCATGTGGTCAGCAGGTGTGGTTTAGGCTTGATGTTTGTTGCAGAGAGTATGCACAAAGCTTAAATAGGTTAAACGTTGTGTGAATTATGGTGGTTTGCTTTACATAGGTTCTAAGGATCTAGCTATTTTGGTTTGGTGGGATTGTAGAGTCAACACCAGATAATAATAAGGAAAAAGTTGTTATTGTGGCATCAATTGGGGCCTTCATTCTGAGCCCTTTAGCTACAAATGTCAATGTTGACACAAAACTTTTCTTAATCCACTATTGACTTATGTCGCTTTTGAAGCTCAAGTAAGCCTCTCTGGGCCCAAATTCTTTTATTTTCCACTTATGCACTCCCTTTCATTTTCTTCCCCTTCTCTCCATTTGTCTGCTCCCTTTCATTTGCAGCCCACTGTACCTTCAGGGAGATACACAGTATAATGAGGAAGGGATGAGTTGGGCAGCTCTCTCCCTCTCTCTCTCTTTATGATTGCATGCTCTCTTGCCCCCAACTCTGTTTTCTTTATCAAATACTCCCAGTGGTCTTCCAAATCCAATGAAAGAATATAAGCCACTTTTGTCAGCGTATATTGACACTTTTTCTTTTCTGCAACTTTTCAAAGTTGAAGTATTGAGATTCACTGTGCATGCATCACCCTTCCCTCCTTCTGCATGACTACTAATTGGTTATATTTTCTGTTTTTCTCTTGCCGTTGTTGTTTTCTTTTATCGGCTCTTGCCTTTCTCTCCATAACAATACTCTAAATGTGTTGTTTAATTCCTGAAATATGTCACCCTCTTGATTTCAGCTCAATTAACCATAATTACATTTAAAAAAAATAATTTCTGAGGAGGATCCGGTCCACCAGTATACTTATAACTCGAAGTACCACCCCAGTCTTGGAATTTAACCTCAAAATATGTTGATCATGAGAAATGTTTATGCCCATGACACTGTGGCCCCACCATCTCACTCTCTCTGCATCCCCTTGCTCTTATGTCTCCACTCTTTTCTATTTATGTTCTTCTTCTGCCATTCCCTCCCACTCTCTCCTGCTCTGTATAGGTTTCTCTTGGTAATGATATGTTGTTTTCAAATCTGTGATGAAGCTTGCTCGTTGTGAGCTAAGTGGTTGATAATTGGGCTTAATGATGCTTTTTGTATCCAGGCAACAAGGTACGATCAGTTCTTTTTCAAGCTAATCTACTTTAAGAGGACAGGCTGTGCAGTCCCCCCGAGGCTGAAGAGGTCAAACATACGCACACACTGGCATACAACCGCCTACACACAATTAATACCAGTAGTAATTTTCCTTTGTAATAGCATCTAGCATTATTTGGAGATTAGTAAGGGCCAGGTAGTAAGGCATGGCTTTCTCCTTCTTCGACTGTAATCTATAAGACACCAGCAAAACACTGTGCTGCACTGCCCTCTCCTGTTGATAAAGTCATCTTCAAGAATGTTTCACCTCTGACCCCACTCAGAACCGGCGGCATGTCATTTGAGCTTTATGTCATTTGTTGTTGAGTTTCTGTAATAAGAACCTGGCTTTGCTCGACCAACATTTTCCTTGGAATAATAGTCCATAGGCGATTAATTTCAAAGTCAATCAAACTGTCAAAATTGAGCACAATTAATTTGACACGGCTACACACGGGATCAAAGGGTCTGCGGGTAAACAATGCCAAATTGGTTTGCAGAGTGTTGCTAACATTAGTAGTGCTAGCACCGTCAGCTTTCGGTCCTCCTTGCAGCTTAATGTCCACCCGCCTGTGCTGAATGTCAAATGGTTATATGTCAGTTTAACCTGAAAAAGCCTAAATGAAACTTAACTATATTTTCTAGATCAAAACAAAGCTTCCAGTCTATTGCTTCAGCCCCGACTAGTGGTGGGTGGCTGCGTTACAGCTTTGACACAAGCTTTGATTGGCATTGCTGGCCAACATGATATGCTAATGATCTGTTCAACCAACAAGTAATTCGGTACAGTCTGTAGCGGTGGTAAGTTGGTTAGTGCATGCATCCCTATGTTTAAGCCTAATTTTCTGATTAAGTTCTTATAGAAATTGGGCCCTTTATCGCTAATGACATAATTTGCATATGCAGGTTCTGAAGGCAAGTGACATGATTTCTGGTGTTGGACTCTTGGTCAAAGATTATGGAAACTGCTTGTAGCTGTTCTTCTAAAATACAGTGGCCTGAAAGGGTTTCGGGATTCCGTAGGGCTTGGCATTACCAAAACCGAGGTTTCTTTGACTTTACTTAACATGTTCGTCTTTCCTTCTTTAATTGATCATAGAAGAAGTGTCTTCCCCTAACTCCCAGACATGCAGGGCCATGTGGAGTTCAGGCATTTAGAGACTGTTGTGCCTCTCAGCGTCCTTATTCTCCTGTTTCCTCCTGAGTCTGCCAGCTGGGAGCTCATCAATGGATTCTTACAGAAGTACTTCTCCTTTTCACTCCCAGTTATGACTTTTTTATGATCATGTATTTGAGCTTTTTCAGTGTCAGCATTGCCCTCTAGGCTATGTCAAGAGCTTTTATTGAATTCTGTCTACCCATAGCTATATGCACTGCACTCTCTTCAAACCGGGCTGCCCTGAGCAAACTTACCTTCTCTCTGCTTCACCTTTATTTGCTTGGTCTTCACTTTAACACATGTTTTGTCCACCATCAGGTTGGTTCAACAGACATTGGGCCATGACCTCCAAAGCTCCTTTTTTTTTTGATCAAACGGCTTCCTGAGCGGCAAAATCCCTGCAAATCACTCCTCAAACAATCTCATCCTCTGCTGGTGGAGCAAGTTCAGCAAAGCCCCTCCGGAGACTTTGTGCCGTGAAGCTTCCTCTGCTCTAGTTTCTCAATCCGTTTCTCACATTCATCATTTTCTCATCATGCCCCTATAATGTCCACACTCTTAGTGCTGTCATAGTGTATTTGGGACAATTTGTCTCATTTGAGGTGCTCTTTACATATTAAATATCCTGTTTTGATGTTGTCCAGAGTATATTTGGTTTTGTTTTATTACATGGTTTGTGGGTTTTATTACTTAACTGATTACATTTGCCACTTAGGCAGTGCCAGTTTTATGCTCTAAAAGTGCTTTAAAGCCAGCGATGATTTGGTACCTGTTAATATGATTATTATCTCCTGTAGTCGCCTTTTTTAATTTTCATAAAAGTGTCATTTTTGCATGAGGCTTGTTTATATTCACAGTACTTTGTCAATTCAGGGCCAAACACAGAAAGCCTTGGAGTCACCGACAGATCTCTATCGACAAGAAATAGCGTGGGATATATTAACAGTCCACACATGCAGCAAATGCAAATACTGTCTGTGCTAAAAACCTAAACTTTCCAGAGACACAGACATTGTGTGTTGGGCTCTTGTATTAGATTTTCTCTTCATGAATAATGTAAAAGATCCATGTGAGGCAAAATGTCATGACATTTAGACCACATTCTTTTTTGCATTTAGATTAGATTTTTAGATTTAGATTTATCTTTAATGTCATTGCATGATATACAACGAAACTCAGTTGAAGCAATCCTGTTTGCAGCATATAAAATATGAAATACAAGATAAGTACACATACACCAGCACACATACACATACACAAACACAATCCAAGCACATCTCACCCATACCCACATACACATTCAAACCATAGACTGTAAACCCATAAACATTTGTAAAGAATTATGTAATAAATACTCTATAAACTAAAATATAGGGAGTTAAAACACGAAAGTCACTGCAGTCCATTATTGCATAGAGTCCATTATTGTAGTCCGGGGTAGAGTTCAATCTATCATTTGTATATGTGTGTGTGAATGTCTGCGTGAATACTTTCTTATACTGTATTCATACCCCGTTCCTACACAAAGAGAAGCTGAGCAAATACAATTAATGCCAGGGTTATAGGTCTATTTAACATGCATGCTCATGTGTGATGTGAATTTGTTCACACATTTCGTATGCGCTCCTACAGACATGCACTTAACATATTCAGCTCAAACACCAGATTGGCATGATGAGGTAAAAATGTCCTGAATTTCAAACATGTTAAATATCTCATATTCTGAGAGGGATCTACTGAAGAAAAAAAAACAAGATCTGAGGCTCAACCACATGAATTCCAAATTGCCTCTGCAGCCCCAAATACCACAGATAGCCCAGAGGTCAGAGATATGCAGGAATGATGAAAGTAAGAAGAAAGTGCTTCCACGAAATGAGCCTAAAACACTCAACCCTGCACAAGCTCAGTTGTCTCCAGTGTGTATTATTTCAGTTTTCTCCCAATAACTGCAGTATTTAGAGGACTATGTCAAAATAAAAGTACATGTTATATCTGCCAATAAAAAAACCTGGCAGGACAACAAATAAAACAAGTTGTAATTTAAATGAATCTGGAAAACAATGAGCTCATGTTTTTATTCATTGTCTTAACATTTGAATGACAAAATCTCACAGTGCACCTGAGTGCACTCGAAGCAACAGCAGGGGTCGAGCACTGCTGTTCACCTGTTTTCTAATTCTGTCTGATATTGAGGGCATGAAAGTAAGGATTTGAAAAGTCAGAGGTGTTTCAAAGAGGATACTATCAACAGCAGAAGAAAGGCAACATGAGTTAAAATGCAGGAAATAGGGATCATTGTGAAGAGGAAATATTGGACGATTCTTTTTTTTGGTGAGTGTCCAAAGCAGATAATGAGCTTATTTGCTTTGATGTCTGTGTGTGTGTGTGTGTGTGTGTGTGTGTGTGTGTGTGTGTGTGTGTGTGTGTGTGTGTGTGTGTGTGTGTGTGTGTGTGTGTGTGTGTTGTGTGCCCAGTATGTGTTCATCCCGGCTGTGAACTGTGTTTTTATACCTCGATGTCATATTAGTTTATTCCTCCTGATAATTTATGTGATATTGTTTTCTATGTGCAGCTTTTGTTCATTTTATAATTACAAGCATTTTAGACACAACCCCTGCTTGTGTCCTCATCCACTGAATATACACTCCTGTGCCCTCCTGCTTCCCCTTCAGTCTGCCAGTACAATCGCTTCACTCATCACCCAACTGTTCCTTCCCTCCTTCTCTCAACCGCCACTGAAGAAGCCCGCTGTTTCCACAAGTTTGTGAATGAGTCTTCAAAGCATGCATTTTTATCATCTCCTGCAAGTCTCCTGGAACATTTTTTTCTTTTCCTACCTCTCTATCTCCTCTTACCCTGGTGTCAAAGTAGTAGTTTTTGTTCTCTTACTACGGCTCAGCAGGCAGAAATAACGCGCCAAATAAAGTTTCCGCAGAATAATGGCTTTTTGCATTCTTCATGAGATTAGATTAAAATGATCCCTGCCGTTTATCCCTTTTTAAAAACACATTTTAAACATTTTCATTTGAAGTAGCCTAAAGCATCAGCAGCAGAATAGTACACGCAATAAAGAAATAGTTACAGACCTTTGTATGTGTTATGCAGCTCCTTGCGTACGTTCACATCGTGCAGAAATCTATCCCGATGTGTTCGGTCTCTCAGCCGAGCAGACCAGATCTGTTGCCCCTGAGATCTTCCCTCCCTGTCTTTTCCCTCACTCGCCCTCTCCCGTTCTCCCTCTCTCTCTCTCTCTCTCTCTCTCTTACTGTCTTTCTCCTTCTCTCTGTGATTCAGTGACACACACACAACACGCTCATACTCACAACACAGGCAGTACAGCTGGAGTAGACTCTCCTAGACATGAAGCCTCTCAATAAATGGGCTCACATTCAAAAGGGAACACACGCATACATGAGCTCTGTAATTGAGAGGCTGTGACTCATGAGAATACTGAGTTGTTGTTTTTTTCGTTTTTGTTTTTCTTCAAAAGTGATAAAGAGGAAAGAAAAGGGGGAATAGTGCTCACTCTAACACCCACCTCCTCTTTGTTGTCACTCTATCTCTGCCCTCCTACGTTTCTCTCTGCTGCTCATCACCCTTCAATAATGACCCCATTAGTCAACAGCTAAATCCATCCACCTCATTGCCTGAGAGAAAATATTCCTCAGAGTTAACAGGCTGCTCAATAGTTAGACAAACAGCTAGGTCGATCGTCATGGTCGTAAGATAAATGGTTCGATACTTGGTTCGATACTTGGACAATAAATTAATGTTTGTCATAACATGCATGCCCTTTTCGTTCACAATCAAGCCTTTGTTTTTGGTTCTCATCTCTCCAGTGTTTGTGTAGACGACGTGCTCTCTGATCTCAGCGAAGTGCGTCAGTAGACGGTATCCAGTGGTGCACAATAAAGCGACGTGTCTTTATACCGTCAGACCCCAAACTGGCAGACGAATGAGAGAGGGCTGCCCAAGAAGAAAGGACACAGACTTTAACACCTCTCAGTTTCTCAGTGCAGCTTTCCTCGCCTGCCTCCATCTTGGGACTTGTATTCTAACCTCCCTCCTTTTTATCTCCTCTGAACACCACTCAATGCAAATTATGTTTAATTGCTATTTTATTTAACAGCTACTTACTTATACTTGAAGATAAATTCATGCCAGACAATTGGTTGGGTTGACTGGTCACTGTAGTTAATCAGAGCTGTGTCAGTAGAAGTCGGGGTGAGCCCAGAATATTTTTAGATTTTAAAGTGGGCTCACCAATTTAAGGTAAGGTTTGTGACGATTATGGCGCCCCCTGTGGACAAAGTAGTAGCCTACCTCTTGTCTCTCTGCTGATTTTGACATTTTAAGTCATGCTTTTGAGCACACAAAAAAACCTCACCCTGCTTTCTTTTAAAAGAGAAATATGTACTGTGCTGTAAATTACATTGTCTGACACCTTCCCCCAGGTTTCATGCATTCAAAATTACTATATCGGAATAGTCTGTGCTGATGGTCTCCTTTACTTGTATTGTTCACAAAGGGGCATAAATAATAAATACATTCTTATTTTTAACCAGCTAAAAACTCGTCACAGGAGCTTCAAGTTTGGATCATTGATACCATCATGTTACCAATTTTATGGTATCCAACTTATCATTGTCAAGATATTTCATTTGAACCAACCAACTCCTGCACTTGAGGAAAATTAATTTGCCACCAATGATATTGAATTTATCTCTTGTAAAGTCTCTGTAGATTTTCAACAATTTGAGCCCTACCGATGAATCGGCCAGCCGATAATATTGGCCGATATTAGTGTATTAAGTGACTATTGGTATCGAAAAATGTTATCGGAGATATATGTGCTGATGTTACAAGATTTATTTACCAGTCAAAAATAATTTCATTTGGGTATCATTGGATTACACTAGCAGTTTATGGATTACAAGAAGCTGTGATGCAAGTACATGTGCGGTTACTTTCCAGTTGAGTATCCATCTTGTCTATATTATACTGTATTTAATTTCCACAAGTGTTTGATAACTGCATTTGAGGGATCAAAGCAATAAATGTGTTCATAGCTATCTGTACAGTTAGAACATAGATCTCAGAAGGATATCAGCTTATATATCAGTATCGGTTTTCTCCCCAATATCAATATTGGTATCGAGAACAAACCATATGACGTATTTTTGTAGGCCAACCCGGAAGTAGCATCGCCATGGGGTCTAACGAGAATTCGCCTATAGGATTTTTGCATTGGCTTTTGGTTCATTGCAGAAAATAAACTCTGTGGCAAACGCACGTTTCTGAAGCGTAGGTGTTGTGTTCAGCAGGATAATCTTCACAGATGAACATCATTTTTCTGATGTTTGAAACGTAAAGGCGGCCGACAGAAGTAAAAAGCTAACGTTATGCTACAAGCGAACTACACCACGGTCGGATGATTGTGACGTCACTAGCGTTATGCTTCAGATGATCTCCGATAAACTAATTTGCGTAAATTAATAAATTGTTTACTAACCTAATATTTGCCTTAACCTAAAGATTAAACCTACATGAGACATCTCGGACTAGTGAGAGAGTTCCTGGCCTCTGTGTCCGGCGTGATGACGTTTAATGCCCCCGAAAACCACTGTAGTCACATTTAGCCACTTGTTAGCAACCGCCTTTTTAAAGACGTGTAAAAACTTCAAAATTCACAAGTGGGGGTATTACCTAACGTAGTTTATGTGGCCTAACAAAACGCCAACATCTCTTAAGCTTGTGTTAACCACAGACCTTATCTCAGGCATCATCACAAACCCATTCAAAATCCCCATTGACTTTTAGATGTTAGACCCCATGGCGCTCAAATGCTAACTTACTTCCGGGTTTTAGGACTCATTCCTGTGGCGCTCTATTGGCCCCAAAAATCTAATTTCGGTCGGGCACTAATAAAAATCAGTCTGGACAAAAAATGTGGTCCATGCAACTAGATGACAGACTGACAAACTAGCGTTGCCTGCTACACTGTCAAATATTAAAGTGAGACATTGCTTGTTTTGGGGTTTTGGGAATTTAGCCAAAGTTGAGATTTTTTTTTTTAAACGTGTATGATTGTAAAAGTCAGAGTTTACAAAAACCCATTTAAAAGTAAATTGTGTTCCTGAACACGTTAGCACCTTAATGGTATTCATGAAGATGTTAATTGTGTGGCAGATGACACCTGTCCCTGCTCTGTGAAGGGTAAAAGGCTCCTCCTCCTCCTCCACAGATGCGTCCGCCTGCGGCCATCTGCCCGCTGACATCGGCACCGGGTGCAGCGGTGAAGAACAGAGAGAGTACTGATGAGAGCAAGTTGACTTTATTTCATATCCAAATCAAGTTTCACAAACATCCCATGTCAGCTATTGATGTTTACTTCACACACATATTTGACAGCTATTTGTGGAGGTCTGGGATTTCTCTGTTTTGGGAATATTTTCTTAATTTAAGATCCCTGAAAGAAAAAAAAAACATGTTGATAAATATTTTTTTCCTGAGACGCTCCAAGCAGTTTTTCAGGGGTTGACTGTGTTCACACACCAAGGATGGAGGAAGGGAACATTTCACATCATTTAATTAATCCAATAATTATTCCCTCTGACCTCAGCTCTAATCACACTCTGCAAGACCGTTTCTCCTCCCATCACAGGGAATCGTCACACTCACACAATTCCTTATTTTCCTGAAGAAGGAATGTGTTTGGCACAGCTTACTTTGTATTTGAAAGTACATGTGCTTTTCGAAGTGCAAACCCAATAATTTGTGTGTCATTTTTAGTTGTTTTTATGTGTGTGTTAGAGAGAGAGAGAGAGTACTGAAGCCTGGAGATAAGAGCTTTGGCTTCTGCATTCTTTTGTCACTAATCCCAGAAGGCGTGGCGGCCAATTCCATGTTATTCCCTGATATCCCAGCCTGTTTCTGACTCCATGCCATGCAAGCGCTGCCCTTGTGAGGACAGCAGCGTCTGCATGGCATGTTAATGAAGGGGAGACACGCAGCAGTGAGGGGGATGCAACTACATCCAGGCTTTTTTGTGTGGACTTATGTTTGGGGATTTCACTAGCTCATTTATCTAAACTTTTGAGAACATTTGTTAAACTTGAAACTAACAAACTGGAAAAGAGATATTTAGATGCACTACCAGATAGTTTTTTTTTTTTACATCTGTCTAATATTGTGAACCAATTTGCAGAGCTCCTTACTAAGAATGAGGCTCAAAAGCAATGTTGAAAGCTGATTTGTATTTCCCTTATTGTTGGTAAAAGAATCATTCCCTCTCCAATCATGACAGAGACCGTAAAATACAATATAGTGAGTCCATGTCCATGTTTCAAAGATTCCCAAAATCACACATGAGCCAATACATATGTGCTTACTACCCCCCCAAGTTTCTCCTCTCATGGCATTGTCATGCCAATCAGAATGAGCAGCACAGATCTGAAGGCAGGGAGCAGTGGAAACATACTGAGGCATAACAGTGAAACACACACACGCACATGCACAGGCACACGCTCAGGACAGCAGCCTGACAGGCGAGCATATGTCCAGAATAACAATGAGTCAGATTGAAAGGCGATGTTGGCGCAGTGTCAAAAAACATCGACCATGAGTGGAGAAGAAGGAATAAACAAAAACAGCTGGGTAAAATAAGTGTGACAAAGAAGCAGACTGAAACCTTTTGCAATCCCTGCTCTACTAAAACCTTAGCCACTAATAGTCTTGGCAATTTTTCCCTGTTGCGTCTGAAGGGTACACTCTAAATTCATGAAAGAGGAGAAGAAAGGGGAAAATGTCCTCAAAGTCAGATTCATTTGAATATATAAATAATTTAGAGCACCAAAAGATTTTGGGGGGCCTAAATTGCAAAGAAAAATCCCCTTCTCTTCAGACATTCAGAATCCATGTGTAGGCATGCATGGACAAGGAGGTATTTGTTGGACTTGGATTTATCCCTTGTATGATACAAGGACTAAAGAATAAATATATAAACATATACACATCTTTTTTGTCAGTTAATATTACTTCCCCATCTCTCTCTCTCTTTAAAATTCACTTTATGCTAATGAGTAGCAAAAAAAAAAAAAAAGTTCAGCAGAGCCATAAAAGCAAAAATTAAACATTCATCAAAGGTTTGTTGCATCACTTTGGTTATTGCCACATCCTGTGATATTCTCTAAAGTGTTCCCCCCCTGGCTAAAGATTGGTTAAGCTGTGTGTGTGTG